CAGTCCTTTAAGGAATGATCACCTTACATTTGGAGCTAGGAGGGGTGTGCAAGGAAGAAATGTGAAATTATCTCCAGAAATGCCTTCTGTTCAGGCAAGAAACTCTGGGATACCATCCAAGTCCGGATCAACGTTGGATTCAAATGGAGTTGACTCACATTGGAATGTATTGAAACTTTTGAAGTCCTATGGCCCACAAGATCTTGCCTCATTGTATAATAATTGTGGACCCAGTAATAGTGGAGACCCTAATATCAGTCAAGAAGGTAGGTGTCGTTTTTCAGATTTACTGTCGATACATTCTTGAAGTCTAAATACTTTAAAAATGTTTTATTTCATTATATCATTAGATTGCCGTAGTAGAAAATCCATTAGAAAAAGCCTGAGACACAGAATTAGTCTCCATTTGATGAAGCGTAGGTTAATCGGGGGAGACTTGTGTCTAGTGAACTTGATTTAAATTTATTGAGATGACTAGGTGTGTAGGTGAGGATAGTGCTCCCTTCAGTAAGGCTTTTGACAGTCTCCCGCGGCAGACTGATTAGGAAGTTAAGAACTCATGGAATCTAGGGCAGTTCAGCAAATTAAATCCAAAATTGGCTTTGTGGTAGGAAGCAGAGGGTAATGGTCGAAGGGTGTTTTCGTGCTGGCACCCATTGGTGTGCTGCATGGTTCAGTGGTGGATTCCTTGCTGTTTGTACTGTGTGTTATGTTTATAGATATAAATGTAGGAGGTATGATCAGTCATTTCCCAGGTGACACGAAAATTTGTAGTGTGGTAAACAGCGTGCAGGAAACCCTAGACTACAGGACAATATAGACAGGCTGAGCAGATGGTCTGAAAAGCGGTAAATGGAATTTAATCCTGAAAAATATGAGGTGATGTTAGTCCTCCCAAAATACAAGGCACAGGAGTACACATTGAATGATGGGACACTAGGAAGTACAAAGGATCAGTAAGATCTTGGTGTGCATATCCTTGAAGGCAGCAGGACAGGTAGTTAGTGATTAAAAAGGCATGAGATACTTGCTTTTATTACTAAAGGCCATTAATACAAGAGCAGTGAGGCTATGATGGAGCTGTACATAATATTAGTGAGACCACAGTCAGAGGACGGTGTGCAGATCTGGTCCCCATACTATTGCAGTAGAGACAGTACAGAGGAGATTCACCAGGATAGTGCCTGTGCTGGAACGATTCAACTATGAAGGGAGACTAAATAGGCTGGGTTTGTTTTCCTTCGAACTTATAACACCTCAGTCTGGTTTCTGTCATGGCTCCGCACCTGCATTCAGTCTGCTGTGAGGGGGCGGGGATAAGGTGCATAGAGTGAAACGTTTCCCCTTTAGTACAAGGGCCGGTAGCTTTGGGCACAGGGGATTTGAGGAAAAAATGTTTTCACCAAGAAGGTGGTGGGTATCACTGCCCAAAATGGTGGTAAAGGGAGGAACACTTAAGATATTTAATTATTTAGAAATGCTACAGCATACAAGAACAGGTGCTGGAGATTGAAAAGAATATATAGGTGCCAGATGACTGGTGCAGACATGATAGACTGAAGGATTTTTTCCACACTGTTCAAAATCCAATGACTCTTAATGTTTAAATTTTTAAAATGGCCATCTGTATGGAAAGTGGAGATATATTTTTATTGGATCCAGATGTTCATTTAAGCCCCTCCCAAAACACCACAGTTTTGAAGTTTCTATGTTGCCTTGCGGACTAATAACTTTATATATATTTTTAAAATTAATAACCCTATTTATCAGATACTCTTTCCTCTGCTTTCTGTAAACAAAGATGCATACACCTCCAAAAGAATGTATAATTACTGAAAAATGACTAGCTGCTGATATATTTATGGCAAACTAACTTCAGTTACCAGCTATGCACTAGTCACTTTGATTTTATGTTTGTTTTTTTATTATCTTTTTGTAAAATTTCACTCTATATTGCTTTATTTGAACAAACATTTGAACAGAACATCGTCTTTACAGAATGAAAGAGGGTTTACATGAGCTGAACTTCTGACAACACCATCTGCTTTGGACCAGCAACCTCATTATGGTTCCCCTGAACTTGTCTTCAAACTGATCTTTAGCTGTGTTTGAAGTCAGTCATTGATGTGCAAATGTGACAGATTAAATGAAGGTTCAGGTTAGATTTTGTAGCATCAACAGCCAGATTAAATATATGCCACATTGTTAATGTTGCAGGATTGAAAACTGTTAGCATGCAAGATATAGGAATAATTACCTTGATAAATCTTTTACTCTGTTTCCAGTGGAGATGGATTTTGAATGAGAAGGTGTCACTGATCCAGCCTTCATTTTACACTTGATAATGTAGGCAATGGAAAATACTAAATGCCTTCAAACTTCGTGTCTTTGAGCACTTTGAATTACAAGCAGGTCTTATTGGTCGGTGACGGCGTTCTCTGGGGTAGAGCAGTGTGTTGGATGGAAGATCAGGAGTGACGTGGGAAATGCATTACACTCAGCAAACTTGATTAGCCCATGATGTTTCCAATCACTGCTTGTTCATCACACTTCTTTCACCCAGAGGAGACGGGAAAGTTCTGGTGCCAGTCATTTCTTGTTGCTTTTGTATCAGTTGCCCCCGTTAAGGTGATGACGTTCCATCTTGCCTGACTTACTGCTTGATGAAGCTGGTTGATGTCTGAGAAGTAAAACCAGCTGCTTAAAGGATCATGCCTGACAAGACTTTAATGCTAGTGTAGAGGCATATCAAGCTTGTGGCTTTTAATTTAATGCAATTTATTCATACTTGCAGTCTTGCACTTTGTGGGCTGCCAGCACTGATGACAATGAAGGCTGACAAGTAGTCATGCCGGGGCTCATAGTAGCCAGAGAAGGGACCTGGCATATCAGATGCTAATGACATCTTGCTGTCCTGAATTTTAACATAATCATTTCTCCTGCTGTTTTGTGGTTATGTTACTCGGGACACATACAGGGCATAGAGATTGTGTCAGATGAGTCTATGAAAAAGTGATAATTGTTGCTCAGCAACTGTTCACACCTTCGCAACGTTTAACCGGGACGTTTCCAAGATAATAAGCACATACCACTAGTTAAAAGCAGCTTTGAGGCATACGTTTATTGTGTATGATACATTGATGTTTGGAAGAGATTGGAAAAAAAATATTTGCCATAATTTTAGTACTTGAATTTTTTTTTGTATTTCTAACAGCTCGGTAAGGGTTAGTCAAAAGTTTTTTGCATTTAAGAAGGTTGTTGAATTTTAAGGATTTATCAGGAAGTTTTGGGCGAGCAACCATCCTAGAACAAATTGCTCAAACTGTTTTGCTGGGGAAGAAAATGTTTTTGGACAAAACCTACAGTATTGTAAACCTGCCCATTTGAAACGTTCCAGCATTGCATTAGAAATTTAGTCTCAGTCAAATAATAGTGATTGGATGACCCAGTGTTTCTGAGGAAGGTACTCTAAGTAGTACATTGAGTAGGAGTTGATTCGTGTAACTATGACACAGCGCTTGTAACTGATTCCAGTCCTCAGTCGGCAAGTGAGATGTTTTTGAAATAAGTACAGATGGCTTACTTGTTTTCTCTTCCCTTTCTAAAAATTGGAAGGAAAATATAAAGGTCTCTAACTGCCGCTTTCTTTATAATCAGCTAACTCGAGAACCCTTGACTCAACCTCACTGTCAAAATAAATATAATTAATCTTTTGTAAAAGTACAATGTTCATGCTGAACTGTCATAATGCTCAGGGTATTTCAAGTGATTTTTTTAAGCATAACACTGAAAAAAAAAATCAAATCTAATGTCAGAAGCAACTGTATCCCTTCTAATTTGGATAAAATTAACAAGTCTCTGCTGGTAAGAGACTGTGTGTTTAAGAGTTGTGAACAGCTGAAACAAAAATGGATCTCAGTTCAATCTCCACCTGACCTTTCTTGGTTTTCCTTAACTGGTCATTGATCAAAAGAAGCAGCCCCTGCCCCCAGACATTTATCATATATCATGGTACAAGTGAAGCTGCAAGTGTGCTGATGTAATTTACTTCCCGGTTATTTTTATTCAAATAAGAAAAACGGATGAGGTCAAGTTCGGAGAGGGTTAACTGAGTGCGCTTAGGAAAGCAGAATTGGTGACTAAGCTACCCAGCAACACTGAAAGTGATTATGGGTGTAACCTGGCTGAGGTCAGAATTGGGTTCTCATCAAATTCCTAGTTAACTGCCCACGTGATTAATGGTGCCTGCAGTGTTTGGCTCAAACTCCACATTGGTGTGCATCCAGGCTTGGTCAAATATTGTGACTTGTTTTGGAATTTCTTCACGCTTTGCTTACACAGGCATGTAGTTCTTTAGAACCTCGTAGGATTCTGTGCCTGGCTAACAAAATTTATCTTAGCAAGATGATTAGTGGGTAACAATGTTTATCACTTTTCTCCTTGCCATCCCTCATCTAGGAATAGTAGTGCTCTGATTGAGATCAGCAGCCAGCATGCAGGTTTAGGATTAAAACCTCAACCATGTTGTCTGGATTGGTTATTGTCAGATGAAGTGGTATATTATCCTTCCTCATCCACATGAGAACTTATCCAAAATGTGTTGTCCTTTTATTTTTATGTTATTATTTTAAACACTTTGTGCCAGGAGATTCATTTAATGGCTGTAATTCCATCTCTGTGATGCATTGTCATGTGAGGGTTGAGATTTTGTGTATAAACGGATCAGTTAATAAAATCTATTTAAGCTTGAACTCTGAAATGAGTAACCGAACTCAGCACTGAAATAGAAAGTAAAGTGTTAACTGTTCTGTAAAATTAAGAGTGATTAAAAGTGTTTGTTTGTTTGGTGTTTTGTTATATCTACTTGCGAACTTCTAATATTAAATACTTCTTAAATTTTAGCCACTTTAACAGAGAAATGTGGTAGCAAATCTGTACTTGCCAAAGTGCTATAAACTTTAAAGCGATACCTCAGCGGTTGATTGACAAGTGAACATTGGTTAGCACACTAGGGCAACTTCCCTGTGCTTTTCAGGATCTTACTTGCATCCACTCGAGGTTTAGTACCTCATCAACACCATCCTCAATGTTGGACTGAAAAGTGAGCCTAGATTTTATGCCAGGTCTTGGGTGAAGTTAGAACCCATGATCTTAACTCAAGTATATTACTCCCAGTGAGCTAAATTTAGTACTGATCCAATGTGTTAACTGTAAACTTTTGCTGTGTCCCCCAAATGTTTTGGAACTTTTATCATGGGTTGGATTTTACAGCATCCCCGCTCCCCCCCACCCACACCACCTCCCCCCCCCCCCCCCCCCCCCCCCCCCGAAAAAAAGCTGGCATATTTGAAGGGAGGTGTTTCAATTTTTAATAACGTGTGGCTTTCCCACCCAACCCTGACCTGACTTCTGCATCACGGTGGGCAGTCAAGGCATCAGGCACCCCATTTGCCCTACAGCTTATTTCAGGCCCTTTATACAATCAAATAACGACAAGTTAAAACCCCAATCCCATCTTCACTGCAATACAACATGCAGCAGGGGGAAGGCAGAGGCAAGGTGAGTTATACAGTGATAGCCGCTGAATGCTGTTGGGCAAGAAGGAGGTGGTAGCTCCTGTGACACACAGCTGTACCTATTTGAGGAATTGTCTCCCAAGATTTACTCCTGTATTAATCTACCCCACTCAGACCACTGCCCAAGCACATCAACCCCTGTTAAATCCAGCAATGCAGTCCTACATGTCTCGCTTGTATATAAACAGTCCATGGTTTAAATAAAAACTTTTGTAGTGCAGAGACTGCTGTTATCTAACTAGAATGTTCATTGCTTGCTGTTTGGTTTCTGTGGCATGTTTGGGTGAAGTTGAGGGAGGATGAGAGAGCCAAGTTTAAAAATGTGGGCCAAATTTTGTAGCAACACCCACTGTGTTGCTATATTTGGGTTCTCAGATGATGTGGGTGTGTTGCTATAAAGGACTAGAAAAGGGAATTCTTCTGATTTTACCTTTATTGATGTTTTATTTTACATTTTATACAGGGAAAGGACCTTTCCAATACCTGCAGCACTCTAACAGTATGTCACAAAAAAGGAGCATTAATCACCCTCATAGTGGATCTTTAGACAAGAAAGAGTACATGACCCAATGAGACCTGCCAGTGGAACAAGGTAAATATGTAACTACAAGGAAGACACAAATTTCTTGCAAACAGATTGAACCACAACTCTTTTAATAAATGTCTGTTTGGTAAATTGAATGGCATTCAAAGCAAATTTATTGCACTGCATCTATTAAATAAAGGCAAAACCTAACCAGTCAGAAAATCTAAATTTATGACTTTTATAATTAAGCTACACATAGACTTGTACTTCTGCTTGGCTAGAATTTTGAAAGGATTGCAAGCTAGAGGTGAAGCTATGTTTGAAAAACATTTTTATGTAAGTATTTCAACAGGAATTGTAGTTTGTTTAGTAAGCTGTTTGACAAACAGTTCTGGAGAAGTGCCATGAGAGGAATGGGATTGAACCTTAAATTAGACTGCAGGTATTGTCAAGTTGAGTTAAATGCTGGAGAGGAGAGAAGAGGTGCACAAGACTTTGGCAGTGCACAAAAAGAGTACCGCAGTTAAGCTCAGGCTGATGAAATCAATGGAAAAATTACAATATACAAAACTATTGACTTACAAACCCGAAATAAGCATTTAAAAGCTTATTTTTGAACACCGTTTAGAGTACAGCTGCCTGTGATCATGTAGTTGGCTTCAATGAGTATAGGCAAAACACAACTGTGGATATAGAGGTTTATAATTATAGAGAAGGGAAGAACATGATAATAGGAAATTAAATGGTACTGTTGAAAACTATATGAAACCGTTAGATTTTAATGTTATAAATAACTCCTTTGACCACTATACTTTGCTTTCTTTTGTGCGATGGGTTCTCTAGCACACTGATTACCAAAGTTTCAGGCATATGTTTTCTGATGTTTGTTTATACTTTTAAATGGTTATCATGAATTTTGTTTGAGATTTATTGAGTTTTGGCATAAATGATTTGTCAGATTTTGTTTTTGTCATTTTCTCACTCCCTTCAGCAGAACGATGTGGTGCAGTCAGCTCTTTCTAGAAAGGTTCTAGTGTGAGAAATGCCAAAGGTCAAAAATCAATGCAAAATTGTCAATAGATAAATTATCAATAAGTAGCAAAAAAACGTGACTAATTTTTTTGGAGTTAAATTTCTTCTCCAACTTCACAATATCCTAATTGTTAATTTGCAGTTTTATTTGTGATTAATAGCTCAAGTACGCTCCTTATCCCAACCCTTAACCTTACCGGCATTAACTACTCTAGTTGTGGGTTGTTCTTTTTGCTCTACACTATCTTGCTGAAATGATTATTGCCTCCTATGGGTAGACTGTTTTCAATCTTTTTAATCACTTGATAGACTTTAGCTGGCGAAGCATTTGGGAGATATGAACCCTGATGTCCAATGTCTGGCCCAAGATTATTGCTTGCCCACTTTGAAACATTACAGTGTTGAATTACAGGCATCTCCCTCGGCTCAAATGAAAACCCCCTTTTCTCTCTCTCTTAATAGATGAAATTGCTTTTTCAGATTTTCTTGTTCTTGCGTCAATTGCTGTGTTTTAGCAATCAACTAAGCAGTCTGTAATGCAGTATCTGCAAGGATTTTCTGAGCTGTTGTGTGTTATTAATAGCCTTTTGTCTATTTTACAAATTTCCAGTGCACTTGTACAATTTTTTGAGCTAACTTTTGATGGCACAATATCTTTTAATGTTTGTACGGTATTTAAATTTTGCTCCAACTTCTTCTACATCACTTCTGCTAAGACTTGCTATAATAGCTCCAGCAGATGTGCATTCCACTAACTATAGTCTGCATCAGATACATGAAAAGCTAACTTAATAGAAAACTAACAACAAAAAACCCCAGCAAAATTAGTCAGTAGGAATTCAGAGGAAAACTGCCTGCTGGTCCATACCTAGTGTGGAGGAAGATGGTTGTGGTGATTTGGAAGTCAGTCATTCCAGACCAAGGAGATAACTGAAGGAATTCCTCAGAGTTGGATACTTTCCTCATCTTTGGCTGTTTCATTGACCTTTCGTTCCATCAGAAGGTCAGAGGTATTCACTTATGATTGCATAATACTCTAGCACCACTTGTGACTCAAAGCTAAAGCTGTCTTTTATGCCGTGAGATCTGGGACAAGATTATGATTTGCGCTGTGTGGCACAAACGTTACTTGCCATTTAAGATCCAACTGGTGCCCTTAGACATTCATTGAAATTTCTATCGCTGAATGTTCCACTATCAATATCCTGTGGGTTACCATTGACCAGAAACTGAACTGGAGCAGCCATATAAATGGAAGAGCAGTTCAGAGACTGAGAATTCTTCCACGACTAACCTGCCTTATGATTCCCCAAAGCCTGCTTAGCACCCACAAGGCACAAATCAGGAGACTGATGGAAAACACTCCACTTGCCTGGATGAGTGATGTTCATTCAAGAAGCTGGATACCATCCAAGACACAGCAGCCTACTTGACTGGTACCACATCCGCCACCTTCAATATTCAGTCCCTTCACCATCAATGCCCAGACGCAGCAGTGTGTATCAGCATCTCAGCAAGCCTCCTTCTGATAACAAGTTCCAAACCATATCCTCTCCCACTTTAGAAGGACAAGAGGAGCACCACCATCAGCAAGTTCTTCTCCCAACCATGTATCTTCCTAACTTGGAAATATATTAGCGCTCCTTCGCTGTCACTGTCAGCATCCTGGAAGTCCCTTCCAAACAGCACTGTGGATGTCCCTGCACTACAATGACTGTAGTGATTCAAGAAGGCGGCTCACAGTCGCCTTCTAAGGCTTTTAAAGCTGTGCAATAACTGCTGTCGAGCCAGCTATGACCACATCCTATAAAAGAATTAAAAATAAACAAGGGAGCAATTTCAAAGTAAGGGTTGGTGGAATTCTGAAATCGAAAGAGAAAATGCTGAAGAAACTCAGCAGGTCTGGTAGCATCTGTGAACAAAATTGGTTTTAAAATTTAAAAAATTTAAATGATAATGTTTCGAGTCCAATATGACACTTCTTCGGAAATCACTTTGATTCTGACAAAGAGCCCTTTCAGATTTGGTATTGACATTAAAATAAGGTCTTCCCATTCAAGACAGTAGGATAAATTTCTTCTACAATTGTCATTAATCTCTAGGACATGCTTCTCCCTCCCAAATGCAGCGAGCATTGGGTTATTTAATATATTCAAGGCTGAGTTAGATATTCAGTTGATGTCGAAGTTGAGGCTTCTGGTGGAACAGGCAGGAGAGTGGAGTCAAACTGGCAATGTGATATTGAATGGTTGAGCAGCCTTGAGTTGAATGGCCTACATCTCTTATTTCTTGTGATCCTTTTGTGGGATGTAGGGGAAACAGTTTAGGTTCAATGTGATGTTTTTTACTCATTGCCCTAGCTCTTGTGTACTTTTTGAGGGAGGCCTGAGCTTGTGACCTTTTGAGTCAGCAAGAATGTTAGCATTAAGCCAGGACTCATCATTCGCAAAATGTTTTCAATTTACTTTGAAGTAATCTAAAGTTAAATAACCTGGTCTTGTTTGTATTTGTTGTCTTCAAAGTGCCTGCACTTACAAATGCCCAAATTGCTGCACTGGAGTGTGCAGTTGTACTTTGTAATCCAAGAAAGCTCAGTGTCACCAAGCTAGCACAAAAAAAAAATCTTGCAAGCTTCAAGATCAACACACTCCTATCAGCTACATAGGTTCAGTACCAACACTGTTGGGTCTCTAGATCTTGTCATTCAGAAGCACTATTTTGTACAAATCAGGGGAAAAGCAACTTGTATTTAATGCTGCTTTTCATGAGCACCCATGTCTTCAAGTGCTTCTCAGCCAAAGGAATACTTTTGAAGTGTTGTCCTTTATAGTAATGTGGGATAATGAGGGGCAAAAGATATGTGCACAGTTGGAAAGTTTGCCTTCAATAGGGAAACCTTGCTTTGAATAATATCTAGCTTCTAAGAAATATTTTTGACTTTGATTTCATATGGTTCGCTAACTTTTATCCTCTGCTAGATGTGTTGCCTACTGGATTAGAGTATTAACATTTAGGGTAAATAAAAAAAAAAAATCAAGATTATGCAGAGGGTTCATTGGACATAGTCTTGGAGCGTACAATTTATTAAAAACTCAAGTTTATTTTTTGAGAGTCTCATTTCTAACTTACAACCTTAAAGACGGTGTGTTTGTTTGTTTGTTTGTTTAAGCAAAGGTTACTGCTGAAGAAGAAAGTGGTTCTACCAACTTTCAGAACAGCCATTAAAAGATCATCTGCAAGCTTTGTTATTCCAAGTGCCTGTTGATAATTCTAGTTGTTCAAATATGTTTTATAACAATTGCTTTGTATCTTCTTGACCCTAGATCCATTGAAAGCTGTGAATGGAATGTTCTTTCTGTATCCAAGTTGATTTTTTGGCGGCAACCAGCTGGCCCACTCGAGATCTAACAACACCTGAAGTTTGAGATCCACACCAAATAAGCTGTGATGTCTACATGTATAGAACACTACTATTCATTTTTGGGTTACGTTTTTTTGTTCTGTTCAAACACAGTTGTAAGCAGAAACTATATATACACATACATACAAAATGCCTTGTATTCCGTTTTGATTATGACCTTGAAATTGTATTGTTTGAATTGTCAAGTGTTCCTGTTTTTTGCAATAACTACATTGCTTGGCACTAATAATTTGAGTTTGGGGCCATCATTTTTTGTTTATAACTTTTTTCAAAGCGAAAATAGATTTTGGTACGTGATATTGACATTTCTGGGAAAATGTATAACTCTTATTGAACTTTTTCTTTAATTTGAAAAATGAGCAATAAATTGTATGACCTGTGGTAATGCTTCTAGCATCAGTCTTCCAATAGTCTCTTTATATTCCATTTGGTCTTCAGTTGCACAGCTGTGGCAAGCAATACTTAAGTTGGGAACCTTTTATGCTTGGTTTGTAACATTTAGTAAATCTTTTGTTTGAACACTAGATTGCTTTAGAGTCTCCTGCAGCAGGACCTTGATTGTTAATATTGTGAAAATCATACATGCATGGGAGAGGCATTAAGTAAGTGCCCCTTACACAGAGCTCTGAAATGTCACAGCATAGTGTTGGATTATCTTACAATATCATGAATGCTGTCCACTAGACAAATAATGCACTATTGGAATATGACGTGGGAATTTTTTCAAAATCAAACATGGTAGATTGCAGCAAGACACTTGCTGGGTCATCTCAAGTCAACTAATGATTTGGAAGTTTCTGTATGTACAAAGTTAACAACACAGCAAAGTGAAAATTCTGAACCATTGTTTAAATCTGCATAATTTGAAGTGACTTGTGTGTATTGTATTATTTTGTTTTTGCTTTCCTTGCTCAATTTCAGCCCAAGTGATTTTGTAGAATGCGTGCAAGATCAAAACTGGAAGGGGTTTGTTTTGCTAATAGAGAGGGGAGATGCACTGTTGCAAGATATGTTTTTGTAATTTCATGCATTAATATGCAAGTTTCTTGAGACTTCTCCCAGATGTGGAAGACTACTTCTTTACAGGCAGAAGACTTCTGCACCTCCTCTTCCCCAGGTGGAACATTGAGCCGAGAACTGAAGTAGTACCTTATAATTGTCACAATGTGTCGCAACACTCTTGTTTTGATGGCCCTTCAAGCTGCAGTTCGACAGATTCTGAAAAAAAAAAGTTCTTGTCTGGAGATGTGTAACTGAACAGATGTTTAAGTATTAGCACTAGGCCCAAAATAAAATCAAAAGTTGAACCATAAAGTTAAAATCCTCACGTTGGATGTTGCCCACTTTCTTGTAGGCTACTGACAACATTGAGGGTATTCTTTACTAGCTGATGATTTAATTTTTGTGCTTTCAAATCCTTAATCTAAATGATCCCAGAAGACTTTGATGTTAAGATTTTGTTTGTGGTTTTATTTTACATAAAGCTGCACATTTGGCATACTAAGGTGGAGAAGCAATGGGATTATTTTTACCCTTTTCTGTGTGAACTTTAGTTTTAACTGAAGTAACACTGCGTGATGAGTGCTGAGCATCCTAAATTATTATTCAGTTTCATCATGTACTAGCTCATTTATTGTACAACATTTTTGGTAAAGTTATCGCTGAAATGTTGATATCTTCCCCGCCGCCCCCCCCAAGCAATCTGTACAAGGGCAGCTATGTTCTAGTCATATTTGATACTCTTTCCTGCAGCTTATCTATTGATTGTGTTCTCCCATAAGCACAACTGCTATATCTTTTGTTTTCTGATTGAATGTATATTAACAGTTCAAGCTTTAGTATACTCTTAAGTAATGCTTACCACAGCTATGCTTAAATTTGTTGTATTGGTTGAAATTCAGTGAATTTACCATTTTTAGACACATTGTTCTGCAACATTTAAAGTGCTTAGTTGATTAGTTTTCCAGGTTGTGTAGCTGAAAAATTTAAGTCAATAATTCTTTTGAAGACTATCCATTTACTGAACTTGCCCCTTTAATCTTGCCACTTTTAATGCACATTTTAAAGTCATTTCATTGTACTTTAGTTCTGCGAGGAAGATATTGCATTTTGATTCTTGAACTAATTTCAATAATCCCTTTCTGTCTTTGAGAATTGAGCTTCTCTACTTGTTTTATGATTTGTTATTTGACTGGGACCAATGGTATTGGGAAGTTTCAAATAGGCTGAAAATAAACTTTTGCTACAAATAATTCAATTATCAAATTTACATTATGAAATGCACTAAATTTCCATTTTGAGAGCAAGGTGGAATGAACAGAACTGTGATTTAGTACAAATGGAAGTCAACAAGTGCGTGAGACTTTGGAAGAATTTGGCTTCTTTTCTTTAGCATTCTCTAACCTGAATTTCAAGAGACAACAATGACCAAGGATATTGTGTAGAAATGGCAATTTGTATATACTGCACTAGTGACAGGAATGCTGTGTATTAACGTACTAGCCCTGTACCCTGGGGAAGAAGTGTATATAGAAGTGAAGTTCCGGGCAGTTTTGTTTTGAGATGGGTAATGGGCCAGTATTCATTCATTTATGATATTAGGCTTAGTAGATAGCCTCAATTGTTTTTTTAATGTAAATACAGCAAATGTAACATTTCAATACAATTGGGCTGCTAAAATATTTTCTGTTCATTTTGTACATTTGTTTAGGTGAAGGGGATTTTTTTGGTTGAATTCCAAGTGGTTTTTATGAAGTAATTGAGGCTTTTGGCTAGCTATAGATTTTCTTTTAAAGAATTGGATAATATTTTGACTTTTTTAAAAGATGGATTAGTTGAAAGCAATCTGTATTCATCATTGAAAACATCTTGGTGCACAGCATACACAGAACATTGGTACATGGTCTGTCAGCTCTCCACAAATGCTGCTAACATACCCTTGGTAATGGAACCATTGGAAGACTGTGAACTTTGCATATAGTTTTACTGTGCCTGATAGTTATGTTTCAACTGTTAACTCATGTTTGTAAAACGCATTGTTATTTTCCCATTTAAGAATTTGGTGATACACAAAGGAGAAACTAGCTATGCAGCAAGATGATGTGTGTGTATGTTATATTAGTCTTACAGTCTGTTCTAATACTTCCAAGCAGAGCGTCTGAATTGTGACGTGTGCCTTACCAAGAAATCTCAAACTCATAATTTTCTTGGGAAAAAGAAATATGCTCAACAGATTGAGCAGTCTTTGTTTTGGTTTGGGGTTTGTAATATTGACACTACTGACCTCTTGTGACCATGGATTCTGATTTTCTTTCTCCTAGAGAAGACTGAGCCATATGTACATGTGCTAGAAAATGTTTTATAGTTGCACTTTTTAATGCATATTTTTGAAACTGTAATGCATCAAATACAGGGGCTAAAAGTTGCTTGTTTGATCTGAAATATAAAATTGTTGCTTGAGGGTGCATGCTGAATTCATGAATTCCTATTCCATTGAATTTTGAATATATTTCTTTACAATGCAATTTATGGGGAATTTCCATCCATGTCTTTTGGATCCCTCAGTGTTACAACATTAGAAAATAAAAGTTTTGTGTTTGTAGTTGGGCACACTGTGTAGTATGCATATTAAGGTACATCTTATTTAATTCAGTTTTCTTTTTGTATTTATTACATATGGATCTTTTTGATTTCTTTAATCATGTTCAACCATACAATAGTGTTTCAGACTGTCTCTAATTTATGATGTACTGTTATTTGATGTACATTCATCCAGTTTTGGAATATATATATGGTGTTTTGCATCTCTGGTTCTGTTGGAGTTCTTTTTTTCCTGTCCAAAAAAATAGTTACTGCCTTTGCCTATTTGCAAAACTTGCATTTTCCTGTAACTTCACTTCTAGGAAGTATCACTCTGCAGTTTAAATCGGGATTTGTTGCTATTTTTAAAGTGCATTTTGCTGAACTTTGGCACACAAATTTTACACAAGTATTCCAATATCATCACCGTCATAACTCTGGAAACATTTTATAGTACACATGCTATGTTAACATATTTATTCCTTTTCCCAAAGGAATCTTGAATATTACACAAAAGCTGAGTGAATTTGTGTTGGGGATAGCTCTGATTGGAAACAGACTATTTCATAGAATTGTATTTTTCTTTAGACTCTTGTTGTACCTAACTGGACATAAATATTTTTCGAGTCAGTGCTTCTGTAATGGTGGTGGGTGGTAATGCCAAGGACACTGTTGGTTCCTTATAGCCATTGAATTCTTCTGAAAAGTGCACTTCTACGCAGCCACTGAAAACAGACTCCACCTTCACCATGATTATTGTATTTGGTATTGGGCTCATTTATCTGACTAAAATAGCAGGGGCAAAAATTGAATAACATGTAAGCACTTCAAGCTCATACTCATAAATTTGCAGGTTTATTCTATATGTAAAAATTCAGCACACTGGTACAAGTAACTTATCAGAAGATAGTCATTTCTGAATTCCTGCAGTTCAAGCCAGTCCTAAGCCATTCCTAGTCGTAACCATCTTTATATTTACAACAATGCCAGCTGGAATATATCCCAGACAACAAGGTGCAGGGCTGGATGAACACAGCAGGCCAAGCAGCATCATAGGAGCAGAGAGGCTGACGTTTCGGGCCTAGACCCTTCATCAGAAAAGGGGGAGGGGAAGGGGGTTTTGAAATAAATAGGGAGAGAGTGGGAGGCGGATAGAAGAGGGATAGAGGAGAAGTCTGGTTCTGTGCTGTGTACCTCTATGACTCTATGACATATGTATCTGCAACATAGCATCGCACAAACAAGTGAGAAAAAACTAATTTCATTAAAACTTTAAAACAAAACTGTAAATATTATTGAGTGGTGCTCACTGTATCTTTCCAGTATTTAATTTTCATTATTTTCCCTCACTATTCTCTTTAATTAAATTTCCTCTCTGTCTCTTGGATTTTGGGTACAATTTAACATCAATTAGAATTATAGACTGAGTTTGAGAGAGAGATGTTCTAAAAGCTTTTAGCAGTTCTGATTAGTTACAAGGTCTGTTTTAGGTACAAACATGTTTTTACAGGTTTTACATTGTTTAATAAGCTACTTAACAGGTACGAGCCATTTATGCATCTGTTTAAAGTATGTCGTGTCACCTCCCAATGGTTATCATCCCAAATGTTCCAACTGTTATATGCAAAAAGACCAAAAAACAACTCCAAGACTACAAGACTCAGTAGAGAACATAATCTTGAAGCTTTACACACAAGAACACACGTTAAATGCACTGAATACAAGACTCAAACAATTTAGTGCAGCTGCAGCAAAAACAAAGTTGCTGGAAAACCTCAGCAGGTCTGGCAACATCTGT